GTTTCATGATTACCCCAAAGAACTTATTTATTTTTTTATATGTACTACATCATTCACTATGTGGTAAAATTATATTACTGAAGGATTTAAAAAAAAAACGAAATAGATGTAGTTAGTTACTTTGAAACATTATAGGACGGTAACGGTTCTCATAAAATTTACCAAGGCCCAAAAAAGTCTTATTTCAGTTATAGCTGTTCTCCCACGACTTCGCCCCCATAAATTACAGCCCATGTCACCCGCATATGATGTCACTTCCGGTGAAAGAATTTTTAAAATCAATCTAGTGGTTACGGAGCCTATTTAATGCAAACAAACAATAAAGTGTTTCCTTTTTATGACATTAGTATAGATAAAACCTGACGATAAAACAACGACACAAATATAAATTTTACTTGCTGACTTTCTCGGTCTAGCGATAGAGATAGAGAAAAGGAGAGAGATGCACATATAAAGTCGATCATGGCAAGAACAGAAGTACTTCCTTAACTTTCTTTTAATTAATACAAATGAGACTAGATAAAAGCACAGTATTTTTTAAATAAAAAAAGAAGTTTAATAGCAAGAACACAACAGGCCACAGACATTGCACCATCCAACAATAGGAACGAGACAGAAGATTCATTCACACCCACCCATTGTCTCGCCACAATGCAAATGTCAACAACTATTCAGCCAAAAACTGTGCTGCGTCGCAGGAATCCTATTTTCAGTGACTTATATAAAAACTTGCAAAGCACGATCGCTTCGACGTTCTTATAAGTTCGTTACATTATTTTTTTTTTTATCCATCAAGGAAATAGAATTAAATTCATAGTACTTAGTTTCCGAAATCAAACTAAATTTCACTATAGTGTTTAATTAGATCTTTACCTATGAAAATGCCGTTTTGCCATACTGACCATTATTTTGGGTGATAATACTAATCTCAAATTATTATTTAAAAAAAAATATTTAAATAATAATTTGAATTAATTCTTTAAATCTTCTTTAAATCTTAATTCATTTAATTCTTTTTTCTATTATCGTCAGTTGTTTAATAGTAAGTGTTTTGTTTTCAATTTAGTCGAATTAAAGACGATTGTGGAAGCTAATGAACCTTAATCTACGTTTTTTTACATTTTAATACATAATTGATGTGCGTTTTAGTGTCATTGCGATTAGGGCAAGCTTCATTATAATGAATCATATGCCTTTTTTGCTATTCGAATGTTACAAGATAATAGAAACAAACTATTGTTTTATTTAAATGGTTGTTATTTTATGCATTTGGCATCTGTACATTGCATAAATAAATATTATTAGTAACTATTGCTGTGTGAATAAAAGCGCTTAAAGCTAAAATCTTAAAATAAATACATGATAAATGTTACCTATTTGGCCTCTTTCAGTACATATTCTACATATCGCTTCGTAAACTGCTATATCATTAAAATAAAAGGTCCATTAACAATACGACGGACCCCTCGTATAGTTAGCTCGTCCGCAACGAGACAATAGCGAAATAGGTGCGGAACGGTGCGCTGCGACGCGATGCGGAAGTTTGTTGTTGCAGCACACCATCGGGACACACAATGCACTCATTATTCCATTATTATAATGAGCTTTGAATTAAATTTTCATTTGGTTGATTCACGCAGAAAACTGCTAATGGTAGATTGAATTGAGTTGATAATGATATTGGATAACTACTTACGTTTTCGTCTGTTATTATATGTAGCTTACAAATAATAAGCATAAAAAACAATATCTAATCTGCAATTAAAATTATTCTAAATAAAAATTTTCTTATCTATTAACATGGACCACACACATGGTACAATAATTTTAGTTTCGAAGTTTATCACCGAAAAATATCGTTACATATTAAATTGACATAATTACAATATAATTTTTTGAAAAATGTTGTGTAATTCCTTGCGAACATCCCTTTTCACAACAAAAAGAAAATATGAACTAGTCCAAAAATTTGAATAAAACAGGATTTGAATAAAAAAAAATATTCGCTCAGGTTCTGGCTCAGAGATTTCTTGTCTACAAATGCGATAAGTACTTACAAACTCGTTATGAAAGACTTCTATTTTATATTTTTATCACAGAGCTTTTCCAGGAACAAGATTAATTGATTCAATTTTTTCAGTTGAGGTATGTAACAAAAAAGCGCACTAAAAAAAAATACTTACAAATGAATAGTTTAAGTAAACAAAAATTCTACTAAAAGCTCTCATTTCTCTGTTGTATACAACTTGTTAACCTTCTTTGATATGACTGATCTAAATTATTTAAAATTCGATTCTTTCGAGTTGTATTAGCATTTTTCGAAAACAGACCATATTTCGTTTTCGAAGAAATAGAATATGCCTTCTGCGCCCACGAGCGTGGTTACTACATATTAGACATTGTCCAAATAAAAAAAAAATTACCTAATGGCATTATTGATGTATCTCTGAGAGAAAATTCAACGGCTACCTATTATAGCTCAAAAGACACAGCCAAAATATATTTATACTATGGCCTAACAGCCAGTTACACAAACGTCCATTAAATTTATCATTAGTTTAAAGCGACATTACCCATATAAATTTGGACATTCATTAGAGCTTAAAGGCGTCATTAAACCTTAATGGACGGTTGTGCAACTAACCGTATGATAGACAAACGGAAGAATTAATGATTGCGAACTGTCAATCTGTTCACAAACTCCATTCTCAATTACAATGAAACAAGCGGCATGGAATCACGTTTCCATTTTAAATGAAACTGTCAGTTCGACTGGCTGAATACTGTTCGACGTTGCACCAAATTAATCTTATTTCGTTTCAATTTTCGCTCCTCTGGTGGTGACTAAATAAAATCATTAAGAATGAAACTTACCTTTATTTGCATCAACTTATATAGTAAAGTTTCTTTTATATTATAATATTCAATTAATTTGGGTACATTGCGTTGCGTTATTCGTTAATTTAAAATAAGTAGGTAAGATGAAAAAATATTTGGCTAATTTACCGTGACAAGGCAGCGCGCTAGAGCCGTCTTGTTGTAATTCTACAACACTTGGGTGTTAATACCACAAAACCTCATAAATAGTATTTTATTATATTTATTTTAGGGAAAACATACACGATATACTTGGCAACATTATAACAGTATCCTTACAGAAACAAAGCCGCTGTTTTTTTCTGTCATTTTGATGACGTAACTCATCCTATTATTCCCTATTCTATTATTCTATTAATATTATAAATGTGAAAGTTTGTTTGGATGTTTAGATGTTTGGATGTTTGTACGTCAATCACGCCGAAACTGCTGAACGGATTTTGATGAAATTTGGTATACCGATAGGGTGTTAGCTGACTTAGATAATAGGATACTTTTTATCCACTAAACATTTCCCTGGGGTCCACGCGGGCGAAGCCGCTGGCGAAAGCTAGTTAATATTATAAATGTGAAAGTTTCTTTGTTTGGATGTTTGTCGGTTAATCACGCCGAAACTACTGAACGGATTTTGATGAAATTTGGTATACAGATAGGGTATTAGCTGACTTAGATAATAGGATACTTTTTATCCCACTAAACATTTCCCTGGGGTCCACGCGGGCGAAGCCGCTGACAAAAGCTAGTTGAACTATAAGTAAGCTATAGTAGTTTCAACATATGAATATATTACAGAGATTAAAGAAAATATATTTACTTTAAATCACTTTGATTAAAAGGAATATCTCGTAACAATGAGGAAGTATTTAAAAAAACATTAGTTTCCGAAATCAAACTAGATGTCGCTACAGTACCTTCTTGATTTCTTCATGTCAACCCTTCCGGTTTTCTTTTATGTAAAAAAGTAAATTAATTTTATAAAACTCAATAAACAAATTTGTATTGATAGCTAAGTTTCGAACTTTGTTTTGAATGGTGCAGGGGGTGCAACGCGCCCGGGCGCCGTTCGTTGGGGGGCGCAGCACCGATGATCCTCAGGAATTTCCCTGTAATGGCCCCCCCATTACAGGGAGTTTTTATTAAGGTATATTAATTTGTCTTTATAACACATTTTATCAAACTTTGAAATTGGCAGTCATATTTTGATTATTCGACCACGCATAATTAACAACGGCAATTCATCGGAAAAGTAGTAAGTAAATCAATAAATATCTTGTGATATTTTCAGTGAGGAAGTATGTGAAAAAAAAAACATTTGTTCCCGAAATCAAACAAGAAGTCGCTACAGTACGTTCTTGATTTCTCCATTTCAACCCTTCTGGTTTTCTTTCATGTTTAAAAGAAAATTAGTTTTCAAAACTCAATAAACGGCTCATATTCTATTTGTACTTTTTCGTATTTGTATTGATATCTAAGTTTTGAACTGTTCAAATTTAAGTTTTTTAATATATTAGTTAAATGGAACGGAAATGACTGTCTTTGGTCCATTCGTTTACTACAAAAATCTACTTTTGCTAGGGTCGCCATCTAGTGGAGGTGCTTTTGAGTGCTTTGGTTTTTTTTTAATACTTCCTCATTGCAGACATGAAATGCAAATCGATTACAGAAATTTGACAAATATGAACTAATTATTCAAATCCTCACCTTCTAGTGGAGGTGCTTTTTTAGTACTTTCGCTTTTTTTAAATACTTTCTCATAGAATATTGAAATTTTTATTGACTTAAAAAAAAAGTAAATATTATTTGGTCCGATTATTTTACAAAATATTTTAATACTGTTACTGTACAAAAATTACGATTTTTAATTTTTTTACAGTAAAAATACAATAAACTTAAGGAAATAGTGTAAAAACACTTATCAAAGGACTCAGTGATGATAAAAGGTAGTATCAACTGGTTTTTTTTTTCTAATAATGAGACTCGGCAGGATAGAAATAATTGACTTAGAGTCCAATTCACATCACAGTGAATAAGACTGTTTGATTTGAATGCCTTTGCTTTAACTTAACAAAAAAATTACAAACAGTAAGTAAGACATTGACTGATTGACAATTATTTGACATTTTAGCGCCAAATTTTGTGTTAAAAAAACACTACCGAATCGCACGAATAATAGAAGATAAAAATATCAGTAGTAGTATTTATTAATAATATATAAGTACAACAATATTTTGAATATTTATCTTCCAAAATTGACATTCTGTAGATAGAAATATAAAGAGATAATGTCATTGACTTCATCAATAGAATAACAAATAGTTTTGTAATAAAATAATAGGTAGCAATCTGATGATGTCGAATATAAAGTCAGTCAGCAATGTAGCGAGAACTGTGAAGAGCAGACCTTTCAGAGTGGCTATTGAAGGTAACATTGGGTCTGGCAAGTCAACTTGTATTAAATTCTTTGAAAAATACCCAAACATGGAAAAGCATGCTGTAAGTACAAATTATAATTGGTCACTAAATATTAATCAACTCTAATCTTATCTGAACATTATCTTGCAATGTGTTATGAAAACAATGATTCTTAAAAAAGGCTTTTAGTTGGGATTTCCTATTTCAGGAGCCTATAAACGAATGGCGAGATGTCAGTGGTCATAACTTGCTCGGTCTTGTGTATAGTGATCTCAATAAGTGGACCTTCCCGTTCCAGCACTATGTACATCTCACTCGTCTCAAAATCCAAACAAGCCCACCATGTCATTCAAAAATTACAGTTAAAATGTTTGAGAGGTTTGTATAGTTTACAATTCAAAAAATCATTTTCTCTGTCAACTAATTCAGATAAAAGATAATTTTTCATCATCTGAGATAAGCATTAATAACTGCAGCTATTAACGTTTGTTTATGTAAAATTCTATAGCACCAATAAAAAATTTCAAATGAATTGAAATCATTATCTGGATTGTTTAAAAGAAGAATATAATGCCTGGCTCAATTGTAATGATTTTTATAGCATTAGTGAATTTTTGAACAAACAATTACAAAATTTATTTAATTATGCAGATTGTTTGACATTGTAATTTTTTTTTACTATGACATATAATACCAATGTATTTCAACATAATAAGAATGTAATAATTCAATTATGATTATTGTGATATTCTCCCTTTGTCTCAATACAAAAGTACTTGACAGACAAACAAATCAAGAATTGAGCTGTTGAATGATAATGAGTAAAAGCTATTATGGAGTTGATTTTTTTAAGGACCGCAATGCATGGATTTAAGACCCTTCACTTTGTTCTGCAACAACTTATTATATGTACCAACCTATATCCAATAGACTTTGAAAATTATATTTCTTATTTTTATAATATATCCTATTATGGTAATGACATGATTTATGCAAAATGTCATTACTTATGATAAAGAGCTGGTAAGTTTCTTTTGGTTGTCTCCTTGTCAGCTAAAAGATGTCCTAAATGAGGGGTAAGTAAAAAAAAATTTTTGCAATTCAAAAGTAGTTGAAACAAGCTTACTTGAATAGACATTTTCATTTCAATAAATTAGTTTACATTCTACCCTCAAATTTCGGTCAGGCCGAGAACTTTTCAAACCACCCTCATACATAGTAGGTATATTATTTACTTTACGATTTTCTAATATATCTGACATTAGAAATATGTTAGGTACTGAAAATCTACTTCTTGTATATGGAAAAATAATCTATCTGAAACTTTTTAAGCTCCCATACAGATATTATGATAATATTAACACCTTTTGTCTTATAAAATTACCTTTTTATTTAGTTTCTATTGATAGTACTAAAGGATGTCTAATGTATTTTAGAACTTAGTGAACCAAAATAGACCTTAATAGACAAAGGAGTAGCTCGGTGGCGTAGTGGATAAGCGCCGCGGCCCGCGATCGTTGTCGTTAAGCAACTTTCGCAAGGGTCGGTCACGGGATGGGTGACCAAAAAATGACTATCTCGAGCTACTCCGTGCTTCGGAAGGCACGTTAAGCCGTTGGTCCCGGCTGCATTTGCAGTCGTTAATACCTTCCAATCCGCATTGGGCCAGCGTGGAGGGTCATGGCCCATCCTCCTTAACCATCCATAAGGAAGGCCTGAGCCCCTGCAGTGGGGACGTAAAAGGGCTGATGATGTCAGACAAAGTTAGTTTTAAATAAATAATAATGTTATAAAATATTACTGACTGAGTAGCTCGGTGGCGTTGTGGATAAGCGCCGCGGCCCGTGATCATTGTTGTAAGCAACCTCGGCAAGGATCAGTTACGGGATAGGTAACCAAAAAAATATTATCTCGAGCTACTCATAGATGTAACCGAGTCATACAACTCCATTCCTTGGGAGGCACGTAAAGCCTTTGGTCTCGACAGCATTCACAGTCGTTAATATGCTCCAATCCGCATTTGGCATGGATTTTCAATATAATGTAAATTGTAATCGAGTCATACAAGTATTTCTTAAAACATTTCATTTTCAGGTCTGTACAGAACAGCAGATATTGTTTTGTTGAGAATGCAAGGAAACAGGGATACCTCCATGATGCAGAGTATGAAGTATTAAATAAGTGGTACGAACATATTACCAAACAAATTGACATACGTTTAGATCTTATAGGTAAGTATTAATTTGTATTTTAAAAGGTCTGTTCTGTGGCCACTTTACAAGAAGTAGTAAATTAAGTTTTATGATAAATTGACATTATGCATATTATTAGAGGTTGACTATTTTGTATATTAGGTCCTTACATATGAAATTGATGTTTGGTATGGGAGGAACAAAAAGTCGAATATTTTTTTAATATAATATATGTCGGCGTGTAGTCAGAAGGGGCTTTTACGAAGCCAAAATAGATGGTCCATATCGGATGACTATCTTTAAAATAAAACTGCAGGCGTGTATACCAACGTGGATTTGTTCCATTTTATCACTTTTCATACGAAAATATAACGAGATCAGCGTGATGTCGTCGGATGTCTATACTCCTCCGCGATCGGAAATAGAATGTGTACCAATATGGCGGCAAATTGCTTTTTGTTAACGAACTGTTAAAGTCAGTGTCACCATTCTAATAAAATTAAAAGTATCGATGAGCACGCTCTCTCTACAACCGAGTCTAACTAAATCAAACGATCTTCGTAAAGATGATGCGACATATATTTATTTAATCAAAGTATAAACCATTGTTATCTATGCTTTTTTGCCATCTCATAGATAGTTCATTGATTCCGACGGGAATCAATAAAATCTTTGAAGGCGATTTGCACTGCCCAACGGAGTTGAATTTTTTCCCTTGCAAGAAGTTACCCAAATTTCTAAAAAAGTGGTAATCTGTTGGAGCAAGATCCTGGGAGTATGGTGGATGTCTTAGATAGCTTTGGATAGCTTTTTTGGGTTCCATTTTCTCTTGGGGCAGGATTTCGCTGGCATGCCAGAGTCGAACCGTTGCCATGAGCGCTTCCGATTATCATAGAGAATCTACTTTTCAATACAGGTAATGATTCGATTTAAAAACTCTTCATTATTGTGCCGGTTAAGTAATTAATGAATATTTATTGAACACATACACCATTTGACAAATAAAAAAACCAATAATAACTACAATATATATATTTAAAAAATATATAATAATAATAAGAAAAATCTTTAAATTTACCAAAGTTCTTACAATATTCTATCATAGTCGGTGCAGTGCCCAAAAGGTCCCGGCTCGACATAGTGCTGCAGCAGACTACAGCGTCGATTTTCAGCCGGCATCCGTGGTGAGCCGTTGCTGTGCCAATGCTCTGTAGCATTGCTATAATATTCTGCGAACGGACGCGCAACCATGCGGTCGCGTACCGCTCGCAACTATCGCATACGCATTTGTGTTTTTTCAATAATAATATAATGTGTTTTATGGTATTTCACTTAAATTCAAACAATAGGATAACATGACGACAATGAGGTCCAGAGCCAGCGTACAAGTATTCAATAATGTACCCACAGTCAATATGAATCATCTCTCCTTACCATATGCATCGTCTGATAGACGTAGAAATCAGTTTCTAAAAAATTTTTTCATAAAAATAAAAAAAAATAATATCAAAAATTATTTATTCAGTCTAGACTGTTACAAACACTTGTGAAAGTCGTGAGCTACGCCATCGGTTCTTAAATTTACGGCGGAAGACCTTGTACCGAGGAGAACCGGCAAGAAACTCGGCAAGGGCTGCTTTTTTCTCCCTGTTATATTTCTTGACATGAAATCATGTCTCAAAATTATCTTGTTACCTTTATTAAATTCTTATGTTAACAGTATAAGATATTTTTTCTATATTACTCCCATTAGAGGTTGTGAGTTTGTTGCTCGTTCTTCTTATCAGTCAAAAGACGTCCTGAACGAGTGGTAGGGAGAAAATGTTGGACGATTCAAAAGGGATTTTAAGAAGTTTATTTGAATAGATTATTTGGACTTTGATTGGCACCCGAGGCCAGTGTCAGGGAGGCGCCAAAATCAACTTTATATCTATCTACTTACGATAAAAAAAAACGAGTTTCACAAATCTTTTCACACACATTATATCATGAGATGGTCATGCTTCAAAATCCCTAATCATACACTGCAAAAATATGGTCTCGTCGGTATCGTATCGTCGGCCTCAAGGAGCGTAGAGGTGGGTGAGGGGCAGAAGAAGGGAGCCAAACAAAGTTTCTGCCCCGGTTAAAAAAATAGTAGATCCGTGCCTGGTGGGTATGCCTACTCTGTGACTAACCCCTGCGAAGACGGGTCTGACAGGTAACCATAATGTAAAAATACAAACTTTCTTAAAATACAGGTATCTTTCGCTGACGCGTTAGTCACATGTCTCAAGTAGAACCTGAACCAGACGGGGTTGTAACTGGCGAAGGCAACTGTAAAGGAGACTGTCTACCTTCAGGGTTCTATGGCATAGCTTCACTTATTTCGATTTCTTTACATTTGATTGAATTAAATGCATTCAATTATGTACTGAATGTTGAGATTTCGATTCAATCCGATTTCAAGGACAGTGTTGTGACACTACTGCAATCTTCTGCTATCACATCTATAATCTACTGCTTTTAAATTAATAATGGTAAAATTTTACTAGATATTTTTAGGAACTATTAAAAACAGCCGTCATTTTTATACCATGTTGCGGAATCCACTTATTTTAATGCTTCTTCTACTTACTACGTTCATTCTTATTGGTCGACATTTGCCAAGCTTCGATGGGTACATAATGAGCACATCAGTAGTATGTTATTGTTACAGTAATACAATACAGTTTATAGTTTTCGTCCGACCTCCATCGTTGTGTCCATATTACCACGATGAAATAGATGTCCTTATATCACGCCCACAAAATTTATTGTGTTATTTATTCACTGAAATACTTCTTTTACAGTTTATCTTAAAACTACCCCAGAAGTAGTATTTGAGAGAATGATGAAACGTGGCAGGGCAGAAGAGTCTGAAGTGCCTTTAGAATATTTACAACAAGTGAGTGAAAATAAAGCCAAAATCTTCAAATTTTTACTAACGTGATATTTTATTGAACTACTTACTCTGTATAATCACATAGTCTACTGTTCATCCATGTTAAGTACTTGATGCCAGAAATTTTGGTTGCTTGAATAAGTACTACTCGTAAGAATTAACATGACACCTGAAGGCCTAGTCTATTTCTCCAAAGACGAAATTTCGTGTACAGTAGAATTTCGATTTTCCGAACATCTGATTATTCGAACTCATCCGTCTTAGCTACAATGAGGAAGCATTTAAAAAAATAACATTAGTTCTCGAAATCAAACTAGATGTCGCTTCAATACGTCCTTGATTTCTCCGTAACAACCTTTCCGGTTGTTTTAAAACTCAATAAACAACTCATATTCTATTTGTACTTTTTCGTATTTGTATTGATATATAACTTTCGAACTCTTAAAATTTCAGTTTTTTAATATTTTCGTTAAAAGGAACGGAAATGACTGTCTTTGGTCCATTCGTTCCCTGCAAAAATCAACTTTTGCTAGAGTCGCCATCTAGTGGAGGTGCTTTTTAGTGCTTTGTTTTTTTTTAAATACTTCCTCATTGTCAACTTCATTTTTTTTATTTTATAAAGCTACGAGAATTGTTATGAAACGTTTATTCCCATCTCCGATCGTGATTATGATCTTCCGATGCGATCATGCTCTCATTTATTTGCGTTGACGTTTGTATTGTTTATTTTTTTCGATAGCGTTCAAGTGTAAGATTCTCTTTTCAACAAATATGTAACATCTCACGCAAAAGCTTTTGAACCTATATAGATATTGCTTTTAACTGGTTTTAAAGACATGACGAATCGGATCTCATATGCATAACTGATGCCAGTGGCGTAACTATACCGTTTGAGGCCCGTGACAAATTCATCGAATATCTTTTTTTACTAATTGTGTAATAATAAATGGCAGGAGTATGGAGTCTCCCCTTCCAGCTAAGGCCCGTGGCATTTTGCCGAATTGCCACCATGTAGCAACGCCACTGACTGAAGTGCATCAGGGACTAGGCCGCAATGAAATTATATGATTAATTACATCAAAGATCAATAAAATTTAATATTACATAGGTATTATGTAATATATTATCGATATAGCTCGTTTTTTTCATCTAAGCAACGCATGGTAAACCCATATCATAATAAAGTTTTAATATTGTTTGATTTGACTTTGAAATCGATTATACATATTCCGTATTCCCTGGTTTAATTGATCCAGATACGATTATCTGGATCAATAAAACCAGATACAACAGAATCCCGATGGATTCTGTTGTAAATCGAAATGCTAAAGACTCCAAAGAAACGCTCGTTTCGATAATTTAAAATGCAACGGAGGTAGGACTTGACACTGACTCTGATGCGCAGATAAATCTTCTCGGTTTAAAAAATATAAAAAAACAATTCGAAATTTCGTTCGAGTACAAATAGAATAGGCCCTCCAGTGCCACATGTTAACTCGTACGAGTTATAAATAAGTTACACGACCTTTAGGTACACGACGCCTATGAGAATTGGTTGAACTCGCCCGACGTAGGCTGTGAGGTGCTGACAATCGACGCTGACCGTAGTATTGATGTTGTCAAAGAAGATTTAGAAAGATACAGCTATAAAATCCTAGGTGGAAACCATACTAATTGATTTAAATCATCAAGATTGACGAACTAGATTGCCAGAGCCGTAACTAGTGTGGGTGTGCCCCCCCCCCCCCCCCATAAAAAAATACATGCGCGCTCCCTAGTTATGGCACTGACAACTTATATCAGCAACCATTATAGAAAAAGCCTTCAGATTGGCTAAATAGGTCTACCTATCTAAAGAATAAAGTTAAATCTGCTTACCACATATAAATATTACTCAAATTTATTTGCTTTTTCGTGTCCATTATTAATATATACAAAATTAAATGCTACTTTTGAAAGTATGTACGTTTTAAAATGTTTATTAGAATAGAAACGGTATGTAGCAAGAAAAGTTACAAAGACTGACAAACTAATTCGACCTTATTTAATTTTATTCTATGGATAAGTCTGAAACCAATAACGTGACTAGTTTCCGTAATCTTATAAAACTAGATAAATACTGTGACGCAATTAGTATGGCTATAGTGCCAAGTTCCGGCACTAACAACGTTGCAATAACGTCCATTAAAATTTTCATTACTTTAAAGCAGCACTACCATTATACAAATTTAGCATTAATTACAGCTTAAGGGCGTCATTAAACCTTAATGGACGTTAGTGCAATGACCGACTGCCCATACAAATTTGATTTATTAGTTTGAGATTACGCTAAGAATATTTTATTATAAGTAGAAAGATGTCAGTGACGTCATTAATACAGAGTTCCTCACGTGTAATATACAGACTTAAACTAAAATTTGAACAAACTTAATCTGTTGTGAAAAGTTTTAATTTGTAAATAAAAAATAAACTACACGAAAATGATAACAATTGATTTATAAGCTAATGCTAGTGACGTAATTAGTATGGGTGCCGTCCCTCGAGTGCCCCCTAGTTCCGGCACTGTCAACTGATTAATAAAGTAATTGAACGACGTATTGTGTATAATTAATTATAATTTGAAATGTATTTTCTACAATTATTTTTATAGCCCAGAAATAACCTACCTACGTTATTATGGAAAAATAACTTATAAATTTGATTCAAGACTTCTAATGATCTGATATATATTGTAACAAAACTGTTTATTGTGATCAAATAAATACTCTTATTTCAATTCCTTGTTTTTCTATATTCCAAATAGGCAAAATATAAACTATGTAAAATGGGATAATTCAAACAAAATAATTAACTGAGATGATGTTCATATATTATCACAAAACAATAATAATTTAATATAATTTCTAGTTTAAGGGCCTATTTTACAAAATATATTTTACTAATTTGGGTTCTATAGTAGACTGTCAATTCGTATTTTATAAAATAGACCTTAAAATCACTATTTACACTTATCACTTTCAAAACTAGCGGTAAAGATGGTCAGCTCTGATATTGGCAGCTATTTCGCTCTCCCATTTGTCACCGTTTGAAAGCAATTTCTCTTTGTTGTAAAGTAATTCTTCGTGCGTTTCAGTTGAGAATTCGAAGTTAGGACCTTCGACAATAGCGTCGACGGGACATGCTTCCTAAAATTTAAATCTATATTGTTCAAAACTAATCAACAAAAATTGAAAAGCTATCTGTCTTCCTTAATTCAATCATTCCTCAATATTATTGATAATGTAATTCCAGTATACACACCTGACAAAAACCACAGTAGATGCACTTAGTCATATCAATATCATAACGCGTAGTCCTCCTTGAGCCATCTTTACGTTCTTCAGCCTCAATGGTGATAGCCTGAAAACAAAAATTTATAGATATCTTGAAATAACAGATCAAGACGAAATATATTAAACATATTGTTGCTTTTTGCATTATTTTTATTTTTAAAAGAAACTTTGAACATGGATATTTTTAAACAAACAATTTTTATCTTTCCTTACCAGGAGTCATTTGGAAATAAAATTTAAAATAAAGTTTAAAAATGCATTTTTTTAATTTTGTTGAGAATTTGGTAATGGCACATCTACACATAGTATAAAACAAAATCTTCCCACTGTCTGTATGCTGACATCTTTTGCACGACACAACTGCTTTTAATGCAGTTTCATCAAAATACAGTTATTTGAGAGGAAGGTTTATATGTAAAATGCATGACCATGTGGGCAAAGCCACTAGTGGAAAGGGAATTAAAGAGTAATTTTCTTGAATATATAGATAACAAACCTGAGCTGGACAAATGGCTTCACACAATTTGCAGGCAATACATCTCTCTTCGCCAGAAGGATAACGACGCAAGGCATGCTCACCTCTGAAGCGTGGAGACAATGGTCCTTTCTCAAACGGATAGTTAATAGTTGCAGGTTCCTGTAACAGAACAGCAGAATATTAGAAAACTTCACATTAAAACAAAAAAAAAGATTAATTCTAGTAATTCATAAATATTAGACAACATCACAAATAATACCAGGCACGAAAGTAAACCTAAAATTAAGGAATTTTGTGTAATTAATAAAGACTCATCTGAGTATAATAGCATTACCTGAACCTTAAAAATTGTATATAGGTAAGTATCTTTTTCACTTATTTTCTTAATTTACTACATTGAAGGTAACATCCAAACAATATAGTAAAGGTAATTTTGTATATCGAAACAGTCAAGAATCCCAACCACAGATATGGTGACAATTTGAAATATATATAATATTAAATATCGTAATACTGTTTAAATATCTTTGGATTGTGTTTCACCACTACATTATTTTCTTATAATTTTCAATATTGGACACATCATTAAATTAATGAGTTTGATTTTTGAGCTACAAGAAAGGTGTCAAAAACAGATTTTGAATACCCTAGCTTTTCTTGCTGATTAAGTTAACCTTAGCAAAGTTGATATACTGTGTGGTCAAAATACCTAATTCATATAAAGATACAACAGTTTTGAGATGAGATATTATAAACACTTCATTTGTACAACACAGTACTAAAATTAATAAAAAACAAAAATATATACAACTCTGGAAAGCAAATACATAGTAACCTGCAAGACCAAAATAGATATTTAGAGTGGAAAATATTTATTTTCCAAAAATAAAATTATCCATATAAATCGACTAAGGAACACCTTTTTTGTTACCATGGATATTTATTTATCAAAAAAAAAAACAAGTTTTTCTGCTCTAAAGAACAATTTTGGTTTTGCGGGCTACTATGCGTTTGCTTTCCAGTGCCAATATAATCATAATTATACAGTGGTCAGGCTTATCACTTTTCAGCAATTTCTTTCAGGCAACTTTTAATTTAATGTATTATACATTTAATATTGTATGAGCAGTATCTTATGGAATTAAAACTAGCTTACTTTGAAAATATGGGCTAGAGTTACAGCAAAACCTCTAGCCAGTTCAGTCCAAAACATGGTTTGTGCAGCTCTATCTGTCATCTCTTTGAAATCCATGCTTGGATCAACAGCATTTACATATTTGTAGCCAGGTACGTTGGGTGGATAAACTTTTTCGACTTGACCGTCCTTGCCCGAGCTGGCATAACGTATAAATAAACTGTTAGCTCCTGATGTACGCACTGTGGATGAAGAGTTTACTTTTTAAAATTATCTGATGGTTGTCCACATTGGCTAATGATCACTTTAGTTCAATTATAGGTGCCATTTTATTTGAATATGATTAAAACTTAATACATATCAGTGTAACATGAACAATCCAAAGCGAATCATGTCTGTATCAGCTGTTAGATAAATAAAGAGTAGAGGTTATAAACATCATAATTGCGTAACATAATATGGCTTATATTAAATTATCTAAACAAATTTACCTCTTGACGTTACTGAAAATATCTTTGCTATAGACATTTTCAGATTATTTATCTGGAATCGGCAATAATTTATAAACAATCGGCGTAAAATATAAAATTCAATAAATACTTTTTATTTACCACAGACTGAAAAGATAATAGGTATTTATTTACTGTCTATTAGGGACACAACAAAATATCGGATAACAGATATTGATATCGATGAAACAACGTTATCGATATCAAACAATAGTATACAACATTTAGAATCTAACATCAAATGAATGAGGAATTATTAAAAAAAATAGAAATAGAAACTATAATGAATGAATGAATACTTTATTGTACACCATAATTAAACAAACGGTGAATCGATACAATTTAGTGGTACAAATAGAAACTATAATAAAATATTTCACTAGATGGCAACACAAATTGTAGGTTTTATACATAGACTTAGTAATATATAATCGAACAAAGTACTCCAAGCTGAAAAGCAAGCCAAACAAGATATTAAGTAGAGAGGCTATTTGTCCCTCTCTAATAGAGTGACAAATAAATTTTTAATAAGTGAGACTTTTGATATGGTTCATTTTTTTAACTACTGCGCCTATCGTACTGTTATGAGCCTCGCTGGGTTTAGGTTTTTAAAAAAATAAAATAATTAATTAAATTGTGGAACAGCCGTCGAGTATGGATAGCGAAACGAGACTAAGGAGCGTATGGATGGGATCGGCGGGCTATGAGTGGGAAGTGATTGCGTAAGCTAAATAGAGATGTATGATATGCAAAAAGGGGTACAAATACTATCTATAACACCTCCCAGGGGTAGACTAAACAACGGGGTTAATATTCCGATGTTTAGGAAAGAAGAGAGAAAAAAAAAAGAAAAGAAAAGTAGAAAAAGATTTTCGAATTTTAAATATTTCGGCGAATAATAGGGGATGGACTGACTTCTATGTCTGGTCGGTGTTTTATGACCTTTAGAGGGATGGCTGGTTCAGGATCTGGTGAAGTTGGTTCAGAAGGTAGATCTGATGGAATAGTCCGGGTGGTTCTGGGAAGGAAATAGGCGAGACGGCTGTTTGATTTAATACAAAATATAAATTTAAGAATACAAAAAAGAATTATAATTATAATTATTATTATAAGTAATACCGAGTAATGAGTCTCATATTTAATAATTTGGTGCTGGTTTAAAATAGAGTCCGTTTGGTCGGATAATGATCTTAATTTTGATTTTGTCTCTAATGTGAATGCATCTAAATCAATGTTATGTAATTTCAAGGGAGCCTCATTACTTGTTATTATCTTAAACTTATCTAATGTGCAACAAGAGTCATTAATTATATTAAAATCAGATTGAACAATAGTGGAGTTTATTACAATGTTGTCAAATTTAGGTATTAATTTAGTACTTTTACAATATGAAATACAATTATTAGGAATAGTGAGTATTCCTGTTCCTATGATATTAATTTCGACAATTTTCTGATTAGGACATTCTATGTAAAGTTTATTGTTCTGTGATTGTACATATATCCAATTATTATTATAAAGTGGTTTCCATAAATCTATTTGTCCGTGAATGAAGTCAGTTTGACACTGCACTGGTAACACTTTAATTACATTTGCTATCAATTCACTTTCACAACTGGGATTCGCACTGGTTGGGGACACTGTCATGACGTCACATATGTATTCGCGGGAATTTATCGCTATGCATTCTCTTAAGGAATCAAGATTACAATATTCTAATTTGTCTCTGGTCATTGCTATGTATTTACTGCTAGGTATTACATATGTAAAAGAGTTGGGTTTCACATTGTCATGAGGGGTAGGTAATGCTATACTATGATATAAACTAAATTCTTTAGGGGATACCAAAGGTATTCTTAATACAAATATAACTTTGTTGCCTAAACTAAAACAAACTACACTAGATATATTCATTAAGGTATGAATATTACTTAAGGCTAAGCTTACAGGTAACTTATAATCTACAGGTAAGTATCTATAGTTATCAACGATTTCTTGATATAATTGTCTGGGAGGAAGTATAGCCGGGTGTAGAATATTTTTATTGCTAAGTATGATCGCGCTTGTTATATCTTCTAGTCTGAAAGATAGTGTTAATATCGATGCTTCTAAACTGTTTAAAATATAATTTATATTTGATTTAACTTTTAATTCGTTAGATATTAAAGTTAAGTTTTTTAATTTTAAAGAGAAATCGTCGATAGCTTGATTAAGACTGGCCTCGTTAATTTTTATTGTTCTAATTGTTTCATTAAATTTTGATAGTGTTGAAGTAGTTACCAAAATGTTATCTTTCATTAATGATGCCAGTTTCTTTTGATTATCATGTAAATTTTGAATGGCGTTATCATATCTGATACCGTCGTCCTCGCTTAGAGTTCCAAATATGGTTTTAGACAGAGAGCCAATACCACCTATCCATGCCCCTCGTTTGAACCTTTTGTCTATTAAATGAGAGATAGCCGAAAATTCCGAAACTATGTCTTGATATCTAGCTGTCAACGGAGATAGTATATTATTGCATTGTAAGTCATTTGATGTTTCTATTTGTATTTGATTACATGTAAGACGTAAAGTACCTAATATGGAGTTGATGTTTGTAATATGAGGTTCAATATATGAGATGTCAAGCGGGGTCACTATGTCTAAGTGGCTTACACGAATTTTAAGTTCCCCAATAGGGTCAAAGTATATACCGGAACTTGAGTTGATTTTCTGGATGTATTGTGGGTGACCATGGGCCAGTATGCTGCAACGAAAAGAGACATTCTATGTAAAGAAGCTCTAACCTAATTAATATAAAGTAAAAAAAGAAATCAATTTAATAAAGATGAAAAAGTATATCCTAACGAAATAAGTAAAACTTGAATGTAAAAATAATGTGTATATATCATTAAAATAAAAAATAATAATTAGAGTAACATAATTTGTAAAAAGTTTTATTATAACTATGCTCAACTAAAATAAATTTAAATATTTTAAGTTGTGGTAGGCGACTCTTGGGCCTCCACATGTTTTATTTCATCGAAATGATGACGTACGTGGCGTCTATTAATTAGTAATGATAGCGTATTGCTACCGTGAATCTTTACAACTTTATACGGACCTTTCCAAAGAGGAGATAAGGCCTTTCTTTGTCGCACGTGGTTTTTCAACATCACTAAATCGCCAGTTTTATACGAAACTGGGCGCGTATGGGAATCGTAGTAATTTTTTGAATTTAATTTAGATTTTTGGATGTATTCAATAGCTTTATCGCGTGTATATTTCATACGATGTTGGAGCATTTTCACGTACTCGGGATAAGTCGCGTTGGTGTTGTCCTCGTATACCGAGTCTGGGATGCGAGATTTGTAACCAAATAGTAGTTCGAATGGAGAGTAGTGAGTGGTTGAATGTACCGCGGTGTTGTATGCTAACATCGCGGTATATACGTATCGCGGCCAATTATCTTGATTTTCGTTAACATAGGACTTCAAATATTCTTTTAAGGTCGAATGTGATCTTTCTAAGGCGCCTTGTGTCTGGGGATGATATGGAGAGGACCAGAGTTGCTTTGTTTTTAGAAATTCGCAAGTTTTCTTAAATATTTCTGAAGTAAAGTTTGTACCTTGATCGGTAAGTATAGACTTTGGAATTCCAAATAGTGAAATGAAATGGATAAGGCATTCGGAACATTCTTCGGCAGTGATACTGCGAATGGGATAAGCTAACGAAAATTTGGTAAGGTCGTCTTGCATGGTTAAAACGTATTTTAGTTTGGCCGTGCCGGATTCTGGCAAGGGACCTACCACGTCAATTGAGAGTCTTTCGAAAGGAGTTGTTGAAGTGGAAGTAATCACCATTGGTGCTCTATTGACTTTACGTAAGGCTTTGTTGGTTTGACATGATGTACATTTTTTTATATAATTTTCGATATCGCTACGCATATTTTTCCAGTAGTATCTTTCTTTAATTCGGTTTAACATCCTAAGAGTTCCTAAGTGACCGGCGATTGGAAGGTCATGGTTGGCTTTGAGAATCTTAGGAACTTCGCCCATTGAAGGGTAAATTATATCGTTATGGTATATGTGAACTTTTATATTCGTTCCGTCGAATAAGTAATTGAACATGTTGTAGATTTTCACAAAGGAATGTTTATCGAAAGGGTTCTTAAGATCGGATGTGCTAATTTCATTCACTGTAGGGTAAGACATCATAATTTCATCACGGGCGCGTTTCAGAGATTTGAAAATATCAGGATACGAGTAGTCATCAAAATGGTGTACTTTTGTAAATAAGAAAAGGTAAGTTTTATTTTCATACGTTAGAGGTAAAAAGTCGTGTAAAGATCTTTCTAATTTCAGGAATTCATTACGGCTAGGTTCTGGGCAGTTATTTATGATCTCTTGAACGTAAGGCATAGACTCGTCCATGTCTATTGAAGTAGGTATGACGATCAATTTTTGTGATCCTTTCAGTAGGTTTTCGTTATGTTCAATGATTTGTGTATCATGTGATTTCGTGGATGACTTTAAAAATTTACTATAAGTTTCGTCTTGCACATGTTGGATTTCAGGTTCTGGAGACGGGCTCTTAGGACGGGGACCATCAGGATAGGGTGAGCTTTCAGCCATTGGAGGATGATCCATAGGTTGTAGAGCGTCGAAAGTAGGTAAGTTTTCAGGTACTGGAGCTTGGATATCAGGATGCAGAGGTTCGGGTATAGGTAAGTTTTCAGGACTATATGCACTAAGGGATATATCATCGCCTTCTAGGAGTGGAATAGAGGGTAAGTTACTATCTGATCCGAGAAGACTGGATGGAACACGGACCTCAAGATCGTCCAGTGTTATGGGGCTGAAATTTATAGAATCTGCAGGGTCTGCAGCAGGGTCTTGATTTCTAGAAGTATCTGGTTGCTGAAGTTCATGGTTGGGATCAGTATTTACATTTGAGTTTAAGGAGCCTTTGTTTGCAGGGTATATAGGATTCACCGGGTATCTGGACAGAGCATCAGCGGCAGAGTTTAATTTACCTTTACGGTAGGCTATGTCATAGTCGAATTCTTCTAATTTTAATCTCCATCTCTGGAGTTTACTACTGGGATCTTTGTGATTGAACAACCATTTCAAGGGTCTGTGATCGGTTATAATGAGGAATTTGTGTCCATACAGGTAAGGACGAAACGTTTTGCAGCCGTACAGGATTGATAGCAATTCTTTTTCAGTAGTGCTGTAATTGGATTCGCTTTTATTAAGGGTGCGAGATGCGAAAGCTACTGGTTGGTCTTTACCAACAGGTCCCTGGGATAGTACGGCACCAACTGCGTAGTTTGAAGCGTCACAGGTAAGGATAAATGGTTGGGTGAAGTCAGGATAAATGAGTAGGGGTGCAGTCGTTAATTTATGTTTCAGAGTATCAAAGGCGAGTTGTTGCTGATTTTCCCATTTGAAAGGTACGTCTTTTTTCAAGAGGTTAGTAAGGGCTTTAGCAGTTTTGGAGAAGTCAGGAATAAAACGACGATAGTATGAGACAAGGCCTAAGAATGACTTAATGTCTTTTGGAGTTTTAGGAGTTGGGAATTCAGTTACGGCTTTAACTTTTTCAGGATTCGGTTTGACGCCTTGTTCGGTTATTATATGTCCTAGATAACAGACTTCTCGCCTTAAAAATTCACATTTGTCAGGCTGCAATTTGAGATTAAACTGACGGATTCTTTGGAAAATGCCTGTTAGATTGATAATGCTGGTTTTAAGGTCATGGCCGTAGGAGACAACATCGTCTAAGTAGACAAAGCAACGTATACCTTGAAGACCTGATAAGACTGAGTTCATGAGCCGTTGAAATGTTGAAGGTGCGTTTTTTAGGCCAAAGGGCATTCTGGTGAATTGGAAATGTCCTTCAGGGACTGTGAAGGCTGTTTTAGGTTTATCGGCTTCGTTTAGCTCTATTTGATGGAAACCTGACGCAAGATCTAGCGTAGAGAAGTATTTACTATTACCGAGCTGATCTAATATCTCGGTTATCTGAGGAATGGGGTATGTATCACCGATCGTTACATCGTTGAGTTTGCGGTAGTCAATGACTACGCGCCATTTCTGGATATTGGAAGCGTCTAACTTCTTTGGTACGACCCAGATAGGGGACGACCAAGGGGAGTCGGATGGTTCTATGATGTTTTGTTCCAACATTTTGCTAATTTGTTTCTTTACTTCGGTTTTATGGATCTCCGGGAATCGATAGGACTTAGTATGGACTGGAACGTCTGTGGTTGTCTTAATCTCATGTTTGAGGGCATTGGTATGTGTGAGAGTTTCTCCAGGAATGTGGAAAATATCTGAAAAATCAGAGCATATCTGTAGAAGAGCGTCTTTTTCTTCTTCGTTAAGATGAGAGGTGCGAAGTTGTTTCAAAACCTCTTGTGTGCGTTTGACACTATTGGTTAGTTTGGTTACGTGATAAACGGGCTTCGAAGGTTCTTCCTTGAATTGAATGGCATTAAATGGTTCGAGTTTAATATTTAGGTTGGATTTAATATCGATTGACTTGTCGGAAGTGTTGACTACGGAAACATTAACTCTGTTGTTTTCTTTGACACGGACTAAACAATTGGCTATTAGAAGATTTTCCGAAAGTTTTTGGTCGAGGATCATACCTTCTCTAATCTCTGGATTGGATACTGAGCACTCAATTATGGTTTCGGTTCTGGCAGGAATTATATAGGCAGGCTCGTGGAAGTACAATTTTAATGACGATTTGCCAATACGGAGGAGATTGTCGTTGTAGTTTATACTGCAATTATGAGCATTGAGAAAATCAGAACCGATTATGCCGTCGTATGGTAAATGAATAGCGTCAATGACGTGGAATGAGTGAGATAAATTGGATTTAGAAGACTGTAATTTTAATTGAAAATGGCCTCTGGTACGGATTGTTTCCTCAGCGGGATCAATGCCTTTCAGTTGGATGCACTCTCTAGTGAGTTTAGGACATTTCTCTATACAAGACATTTTTAATAAGCTTACAGAAGAACCGGAGTCTACAAGCAAGGAGAGAGGAATATCTGATACGGAAGATTTTACGAGAACATGCGGTAGTAAGGTTTTTGTAGGGTTATTGGTTATTTCATAGATCCTGGATTTTGCTTGTTTCGGAAAATTGGCTTCATGGGATTGTGGTACGGATGTATTTGATTTTAGCAGATCAACCTTGTTGCGTTGCTGCACGGATACAGTGGATTTTGGCAGATCAACTTTGTCGCGTTGCTGCACGGATATAGTGGATTTTGGCAGATCAACTTTGTCGCGTTGCTGCACGGATACAGTGGATATTGGCAGATCAACTTTGTCGCGTTGCTGCACGGATACAGTGGATTTTGGCAGATCAACTTTGTCGTCGTTGCTGCACGGATACAGTGGATATTGGCAGATCAACTTTGTCGCGTTGCTGCACGGATACAGTGGATAATGGCATGCGTTCATGTAACGAAGCTTGCACGGATTTAATTTTGGGTTTTGAACGAGCGTTATAAGGCGTGTCGATTTTTGACGTACGGGGTCCCGCACGACACGGGGACGAGACGGTCATTAGTTTTTTGGATTTGAGTCTACGGTGTCATAACCGTCAATAGGGTTATTTGGATATTCTTCATCATTTGTGTCCGACGTGTTGTCGTTTACGAAATGGACACGTTGAGGCACTCTCGATTGGTTTTGGTCAAAGTTTTTAAATCTATTATTGTTATATTCGCGCTTTCGACACTGTTCCAGGGTATGCCCAGGGGTTTTGCAGTATCTGCAGAAGGGAGTTGAATAGTTATTATTGTTGGTATACGGCCGGTTGGTATTAAAATTTGGTCGCGGGCTAGAAGCCGTAGGTTGTTGAGCAATGTTACGCCGAACAAATTGAGCAGGTTTTGATAGATTGAAACGTTCTTGACGCTGGCTAGAAGGGTTTTGTTTTGACAATGTTTGTTGTATTCTTTCTTCGGATATGGCTATATTTATGGCGTCATTAAGTGACTTAGGCGATTTGCATCGGACCATGTTTGAAATTTTGGGAGTTAATCCCATTTGAAAATGATGGAGGGCTAGTTCCTCCATTGCAGCTGTGCGTCCTGTCATTTCTCTGGCTTTGTGTCCATGAGAGATGGACACTTCTGTGAGGAGTTCCGATAGACATGTTTCTACTCGGAGAGCATATTGGCTTACCTGTTCGTTGGGTTGTTGCTTACACTCTTGTAGATCGGTAAGTAAGTGGGCGTAATGCTTTCTTTCGCTAAAATTGGTTTTGAGAAAGTCTTTTAACTGTTGCCAGTTTGAGAATTCTTTAATGGAACAGGCTGTTTCCGCCTTACCCTCTAATTGGCATAGAATAAATTTAAAGAGGATATCTTTTTGTGAATCTGAGGCTAATTCGTATGCGTTGTTACAGTTTACTAAAAATGAGTTTAATTTTTCTCTAGTGCCATCATATGGCTTAATGAATTTTAAAAGAGTCGGTAATTCTATTTCGGGTTTTGTTTGAATTGCCCTTCGTTTGCTGAGCGATCTGGTAGAAGGCCCATGAGGGGGAGGACATTGGCTTTGACTCTCCTCCTCGGTATCGGTAACGGCAATTTCGGGTCTATCGAACTTTGGACTAATTGCTCTCTCCATTGTTTAACAATTTATAGATCAATATAGGTTAGTAAAATAATATAAAATAAAAAATTAAACTGACACACAAAATAGAGAAATGAGATAAAATAACTACACGTAAATCTATTTAACTTTTCTAAATCGGGATATAGCAATGACCAGTGTATTAAAAGTCACTCACAGGAACGCAGACAGAGCGATAAGGATGAACATTTCTTCGAATCGAGCCGTGTTTTGTCTGGAGCAGTGGCGCGATAAGCCACGGGTCGCCGCGTCGCCGTGCGCGGGCCTGTACCGGTCACAGCACGGAATTGTGCGCGACAATGGGCACAGCTTGCTGGCTAACAGAGGGCCGGCTACAGTACTAGCGGTACGTAGCAGTGGGCCTTGCTGGAGCGTTTCACGGATGACCAAATGGGCCGGGCCGGAACTCGGTGTGATGATTTGTATGATACACACAGTGGAGTTGGCACTTACACTCGCACTTACACAGACACACAGACACACGTTGATTTGTGGATGACGAGAAAAAAAAATATTATTATAGTTAATTATACACTTTTCAATCGTTAAATATACTTTTAACGGAGACGACCGAGGATTCTTCTTTTCGAATCCCTTATAGCTGCCACCAATTGTTATGAGCCTCGCTGGGTTTAGGTTTTTAAAAAAATAAAATAATTAATTAAATTGTGGAACAGCCGTCGAGTATGGATAGCGAAACGAGACTAAGGAGCGTATGGATGGGATCGGCGGGCTATGAGTGGGAAGTGATTGCGTAAGCTAAATAGAGATGTATGATATGCAAAAAGGGGTACAAATACTATCTATAACAGTACGCAATACTCTTATTAAACTTTTTGTCATAGTAAATATTAGGTCCTTACATATGAAATTGGTGTTTGGTATGGGAGGAACAAAAAGTCAAATATGTTTTAAAATAATATATTTATTTAATCAAAGTATAAACCATTTTTATCTATGCACTTTGGTAATTCCCATAGGTAGTTCATTGATACTAAAGAAACCATTCGGACGGGAATCAATAAAATCTTTGAAGGCGATTTGCACTGCCCCATCGAAGTTGATTTTTTCCCTTGCAAGAAGCTATACAAATTTCGAAAAAAAATGATAATCTGTTAGAGCAAGATACGGGGAGTACGGTGGATCTCTTAGACATTCCAACTAAAGCTCTTCTAATTTTGTAATCATCTGCTGTGCAGTGTATGATCTAACGTTGTCGTGAAGGAGCAGTGGCGTAGAACGATTGACCAGCCTCGGTTGTTTTACAGCATGTTTTTCTAGCATGGTTTGTAATTGCTGACAATAGACGTCTGCCGTAATCGTCTGACCAGATTTGAGAAAACTGTAATAAACGCAACCGGCACTAGTCCACCAAACGCTTACAAGTAACTTTGGCTGGCATGCCAGGGTCCAACCATTGCGATGAGCGCTTCCGATTATCGTAGAGAATCCACTTTTCATCACAGGTAATGATTCGATTTAAAAACCCTTTATTATTGTGCCGGTTAAGTAATGTAACACAGCAATCGAAGCGCGTTTGCCTGTTTGCTTCACTCAATTCGTGAGGTACCCACCTTTCAAGCTTTTTAATCTTTCCAATTTGCTATAAATGGACAAAAACTGTTTTATCACTAACACCGCAGCCTACAGATAACTCGGACGTGGCTTGCGATGGATCCGCTTATATATTCCGCACAATAACCTTCAATTCTTCATTATTAACTTGAGTCTCCAGCCGCCCACGGGGCTTGTTCTGCAGGTCAAAATTTGAAACTGAAATTGCACAATGTCACATACACGGGTACTAATATTACCAAATCAAAATATATTCAATTTCACGAAAACATGGATATAAATAAGTAAATAGCTCGGTAGTGTAGTGGTGATCTACAATTGTGGAGATTAAGCAACGATCGCAAAGGTCAGTAATTGGATGGGTGGTCAATTTTTTTCGGATCGATTTATTATGTACATACGAGAAAAAAGAGAGCAGGAATCCGCTACATCCCACTAAGTCAATTAAAAAACGCTTATCTTCGCAAGCACAGATCAACAACTTAACAACTTTGACAATTTTTCTAAGTTATCTATCAGTTCTATTATATTAGTACTAAGTCCATGGTTTTCAATAGGACATTTGACGCTTTTCTGAAAACTATTTTAAATGGTTGTTTGATACATTATAAACACACTGTCAATAATAAAGTCTATATGACTTTTAAACTTTACACTAATATAGTGTAAAGTTTAAAAGAATATTTAATGAGAATCTGCTCTATTTTCGATAAAAATAATTGCTAAAATTTTCAGTGTCAAATAAGACTTCTTCAGTAAGAGGTTCAGACCTGATTATTGTGGACCTAACAAACAAACGGCCAACAAAAAGACTCATAATAATTATATTCCCATATTATAAAAACATTTCTGCACGTCAGAGCCAAATGTCCAGTTTTTGTGAAAACCATTTTTCTTCCAAAACATATTTAATTTATCGTCCACTTTCGGGCTCTCTTATTAGAAAAATGAAGCGCAATCATTTCAAAAATTATGTATTAAGTCATTTCATACACAAAAAATATACAGTTCATAGGCTGTATAAAATACTTATGATTCTCAATGTCTTAGTTTTAGTTTATACGCCTAATGAGGTGGCATGGCAACTTATGTTGCATGATAATAGGTATTACATTGCAGCAATAATAAAGATAATACATTGTAGTAGTACAAGTAAGCTGGTGGTGGTGGGAGTAGTGCCAGTGTAATTTTATCTGTGGATAAATTCTAAGGAGCAATTGGAAAAATGCGTGATTCGAAAAGAGGTCCAAAATATCTCTATATTGCAAACTTTGCCAAATCTCTATTATGTACGTTGATAACGTAAATGATTCACTCTAGAGAATATTCTTTCAAATTTGGTCAAGTGATGGGTGACCGAAAATTATTATCTCGAGCTTCTCCGTGTTTCTGAAGGCACGTTAATCCGTTGATCCCGGCTGCATTTGCTCATTAACACCTTCCAATCCACATTTTTGGAAACGGGTTGGCAGGTTTTGGCAGATTTTTAGGAACTATCGGGCAGATTTAATATTTTTCAAACGGTCACCCTGTTCGCCACCCACGTCAAAACATTGAAGTGACGTTTACAGAGTTGAATGCTGTGTTGAAAAGTAATAAAATTGTATCAAATTCGCCACGCAGCATGGGAGATGCACCGGCTTCAGATGCAGAATCTAAAATACAAAACCCCGTTAATGAAGTTCCACCAGAACCGGTAAAGTCTCATTTATTATGATTCTATTATCTTTATGGGCCGATAGTATATAATATCTTGTCTTTAGGCCCGGCGTCCCTTTGGTGGTTTGGAATTCCAAGTTTCCGAGGTAGTAGGTCGGCTGGAAGCTGGGGTTAACGCTCAAGATGCATTGGATGAAGAAAAGAAGCGGGAAACGCGTAAAATCAGTGCTGGCTTCTTCGAGCCGGAGGAGATGCCTATGGACGAAATTTTGAAGGTTTTAGAGGATTTGGTGTTGAAGACTGACCACAACTGTGAAAGTGTTGAACCTCCTTTGTTACCGACCGATGCTGTCACTCGGGCGACCATTCTATCTCATAGTATCTGTGCTTTGTTTGGGAGATTAGAGCGATCTCATGCAGCAAGGCTTGGCGCTCACATAGCCAGTGAAACTACGCGATGGATGGCACATATGTTTAGGTACGATACACACAAAATAGCATTTACAAATATGTTAATAACCCTTTCATTTTATAGCTGCTGTTATCATTCACCTTGGTTTATAATTATATGGATAAGATTAGAACTATACCAATACAATATACAATGTAGCGTGAAAATTCAATTTTGACAATCAGTCTCATTGTTTTTGGATAAAAAAAGTAATTCACCATTTTCATAACCGTTTTTTTACAATGCGTTCTTATTTTTTAAATATTCCTCTAAACTATCACCGTAATATTTCCAAATACCACAACATTGATGCAGTTTATTAAATTGTAAGTTTGCCATTTACTTAATTTTAGAATAAGTTTTACATACTTAAATATTTAGAGTCATAAATTTTTCAATCAGAAAAAAATTTGAAATTCCAAATACTACCTAGTGGGCTTAGTATCTCTAACAAATTGCATGGTTGAATTAAGCTTTCAACTATTAACATGATACAACCTTTTTTTATATTTTTTATTATTATTGGTGTTTATGGCTCTGGATACTAGTCCTTTTAAGCCTTACATAGTTTTTTGACAGAATACAAGATTAAAAACCTTTTTACATACCAAAATATTGCCGTTTTCAGTCTCTTTGAATGATAGCAATATAGTAGATTTATCTTCAATTTTCTTATCACCAGAAGTTAAAACTATTTTTTAAATACAATTGCTGAATGTTTATGATAATTTTAGCAGTTTATAAAATCATATATTATTATTTTTTTTAATTAAGTTTCTATCTACATTTAATCAAATCAATTTTTATTTGCTTATATAAATTTACTAGATAACAATGGTAAAACAAGATATATCATGTTACAGATTAGCCGATTATAATGCATATTACCACCATGAACATCTTGAGGGACTCGTTCGAGTCACAAGAATGTTATTACATCATAGATATCCACGATACTTAGAAGATGGAGGTTTGTTTATAATTACATAATAAATTACTTCAGTCTTCTTTAAAATAGGTTGTAATTAATGGCTTTATCTATACATACAAATAAAAAAGAATATTTTGTTTGCTTGTAATATTAAATTAACTCTATTACATATACCAAAATATGTACTTTTTAAATTTTTTTGCCTGTCTGTTTGATTTGGCTGTCTTAAAAGGCTGGACCAATTTTGACGGGGCTTTCATTGGTAGATAGCTTATGAATAAGAAGAAAATAATGACCACTTTCGTATTAACAGAAAATAATTTTATAAAATATTTTTAAAATAATGATACTTATTTATCATACACAGAATATTTTTGTGTGTATCCTATAACTGTATACATAAGCTATGGACTCTAACCGTTATATAAGATTTATGAAGTTTTACAACTTCTTATTCAGAGCTTGACTGATATTATTTAAAGAGAAATTGTCTGTTTCAGCTTTAGCATTCACGAATCGCTTGCCTTGCATATACAGCTGTGTTGCCAGTCCATTGGGCATAGTGCAACACTTGTGCAGGCAACTTGGCTTACCATTGGCATGTGTGAGACCAGTGCCTGTAAATGGAACAGGTAAAAAAAACTTCATTAAATTCTATGCAAACAGTATATGATGATAGAACTAAGTTATTTATGGGTATTTTAAAATATTGCCTTTGTTATTTGTTTTGAGACTGCTTAAGACTGGTGAGTCTTATATGGTTGCAGTATCCAATAGAATTCTGTTGGTCAATTTCAGTTTATGCAATAATGAAAGCCATTGATGTTGTAGTTGTAAAAAAGAATTTCAATACAAGTAATAGTTATACTACCAGTATATGATAACTTACGTAAGCCCAAAAAAAAGATTGCATTTTAATGTGAGTAATCAACATAACTTGACGTTTATTGAATTTTACTGTCAGCAAGAGATCAGTCAAATTGCTCCGCTTGAAAAAAAAGATCCCGCAAAACGCGGGATTGGAGTCGCGGGATTTCGATATTTCGGGATTGCAATGTATAAAATTTAACAACGTCTCACACACAGGGAAAGGAATGGACATACAAGCATTAGAAAGGCTTTGTGATGAAGATGTAGTTGCTAATAGAACACCACTGCTAGTGCTGGGAGAGGTCGGTGCCCCCCCTCTGGGCTGGGGCACACCTCTAGCGGAGTTAGGGGAGATATGTACTAAACGGAACATACACTTGCACGTGAGAGGGCACGCGTTGGCATTACCCGCTGCTACTGGCAGGAATCAGGTGAGATGATTTCTATAGATTTACGTTTCATAACGGCTCATTTACATTTTTTGATGCGAACCCCATTGACAAATGTAAATGGGCCATTTGAATGATAACAGCAACTCTGCACTGTAGTCAAATAAATATTTTTAAATATCTTACCTCACATTACGTAACATGACTAGTGGCTCATTTCATTCATAAATGTGGTCCTTTTGCGGCGAGCGGGTGACCTCTCTGGATGTTTTTCTTAGTTAATCAATAAATTGATGACTGAATAATGAAAAAGTTCCACATAAATCACGCACATTGGATCGACCAATATATAAGACCCTATCGACCAATGTATATTTCGCAGCCAAGTGGTATAATTAGCCTACTAATTGGGCGGCAAGCCCTTTAATTGATTGACTCTATTCAATTAACGGGTTGAATTTCGATCAGCCGAGTATTTGAACGCAACTGTCAATTCATCGAGAATACCGAAATTTATTGGTAGGATTAGAAGTAAAATAAAATAAATATTGTGGTGGGTGATTTTATGAAAACTACTTGTTACGATATGTAATCAATAAATATGCAGGGCTGATCAAAAATATAATAACAAACTGCTTATTCGTGACTGGGTGTTAATGGTCCGTATGATCCGATACAGGAAGCTTACGTACACACCCATTACGTAAGTGGGTTTAGCTTAAACTTTCATAATATTAATACATAACATTATATAAATATAAGACATACCGCGATTCATGCATATGAATCGCGACGGCCACAGCGTTGTGGCCGTCTGTATCGAAATTATAGTAAGCAATGTGTTGACTGCAATTGTTTTAGTATGTTTATTAAGATTTCGAAATTTGGCTTGGATATATATTGACTATTTGGATAATAAAACTAAATCAGCCGTCTTGTGGAACGCCCAAACTTCATAATTCAACTAGAAAACTAGGCGTGCACTTGAAAAGTTAAATGGTTACATTCAGTTAAATGGCTAGCCGCCCAATTGAACGGCTATATTAACTAGTTGGCTGGAACGCTTATATAAGATATGGCGGCGATTTTAAACTAGCGTCGTCATCGTTCTATTTGGCCGTCAACTGTGATACCAATCGCCATACTAATATCGTTTGACGTCAGTATATGGCGGCTAATTTTAAGTAGCCAAAGAAGCGTATTATTGCTGTAGTATCCAATAAGAATTAGATCTTTAAACTATCCAAAATAATTTTCTTATATTTTAATTTCCTGTTTCAGAGTTTTAGTTTAGCGGATTCAGTGACTTTAACACCAGGCCCATGGTTTGGAGTTCCAGGTCTACCGACTGTCGTATCCTTTATATTTATAAGAAATTAGCTTTAGGTTATTACTTCCTTCGTGTGGAATTATCTGAAACTTTCGCGGCTGCGGGTTTCTGTAAATGGTTGGATATTGTTTTTACAATCTTCCCGAAGATATATAAAAATATGATTAAAATTACTTTTTCCTTATAAAGTCTAACAAAAATAGTACTAAATTCCAATAGCTGGAATTTCTGTGAATTTCTTCGATTTAAATTTTGCCAGAATTCTATTTTCACAGTTTTCATTATTAAAAATTGAAGTATTTTTTTATTAAGATTGGTAACCTCGATTTTCCTTAAAACAAAAACAGACGTTCTATAAAATACCTGAACCCATCACTGCTAACGAACACGCCAAAGGTGTTAATGCGGTGAGTAAATCTTTTAAAATAAATTGAAATCGCAGTGTTTCTTTGTCTCCAATACGCGTCATGGTTTTTCTTTATTGCTACAACGTGTCGAGGTCGAATAGCAAGCCAGCCATGAAACGGATTTTGCTATTTGGCTTTTCTATTATTGCCACTTTAATTAGAGCTAAAACACTGGATATTTTATATCCACAATGGGTTATGAACAATTTTTTCGCTCAATGAGCGGTTTCGGTCTTTGTGCGTAACATATAAGGTGTCATATTATTATATGCCAGGACTTCGTGGAGTGGATTAGTTAAGGATACTGAACAACTTTTACTATGGGAGCAACATTAAATTCACGAAAAAATAATCGGCTATTCATACTGTCAACGAATGAAGCTTGTATTATTATTATTATTACATAAACAACATTAAATTCACGAAAAAATAATCGGCTATTCATACTGTCAACGAATGAAGCTTGTATTATTATTACATAAAGATTTTTGACTATCGTAACTTCCATATAGGGGTATAGATATACATGAAATATATTAAAAAATATATAATTAAAAAAAAATATTTTCTTTAAAAAAGTTGGAAAAAATGGCCACAATCTTATTTTGTGGACAGTTTTGGAGAGATAACATTACAGTTCGTGATAAATAATAATAAAACCCAAATAATCTTGACTCAAACAGAAACTACAGAGTAATAAATAAAAACAAAAGTCTTTTGTTCTCTTAAATTTGCAAACAAAAGTGCAGTTAAAAAAAATAACAATGCGGTGTGAAAATAATTATAAATGACCTACGACCACTTAAAAGGCTCCGGTCTAATTACCCATAACCCTGTATAATACTCAAAACGATGGTGCAAATACGGATGTAGACAGTATGTTTAATAAAGTATTATCGACAGTCACACTTTCATGCTTATTTAATTATTCTTTATTGCCTAACTAAGGACAAATGGCGAACTTAATGCCATAGAGGCATTCTCTCCTAGTCAACTAGTTAGATTGTACAGAACAGTAGTAGGCGGTAGAGATTAAAAACCGTACATAAAATCGTAACTATATGCATTAGCATATATACATACAATACAAATACGCATATATACATAACATTAATATACATACATTATATATACATATACATTATAAGCAGAGGTCGGAATTAGGTAGAGTTATTTATGTACTTGCATCGAAATGTTGATATTAATGTGGACTTTCCCGGGATTTCTTTATTTCTTTCTTTCATTGATGTAAGTTTGGCAACGTCGTGCGTGCAGTAGTTTAAATTGTGTAAAAGTAAATAACTTTTTATTTAAAAAATCATGGGATTGTTTCTGCTCTTTAAAATTAATCTCGGGATTTGAGGCATATCCACTTTATTCTTTCGCTGTATGAAATCAGTGTAAGTACATAAATAACTCTACCTACTTCCGACCACTGATTATAAGATATAACGAGTACTGAAATGGTGGTGTCTGATTATGAATTGGAAGTAGACATTAAATAGTGGTCACGAGCTGCAGACTTAAATGCGAGCTTGTTTGGGGCGTTACGAACGTCAAATGGTGATGCATTCCATAGTATTTATTGACATAATTTCAAATGAAACAAAACTTATTGAATCCAAGAGCTCCCGAACTAGCTGAAATCTGTGTTTCAAGAGCCTTTGGCTTCTCCAACATATATTAACAAAGCTTATGCTTCAAGAAAAGAAAAAAAAAGTTTGTAAAAAATTAACACAAAAAAATAAAATTAACCTATATGAGTACTACTGCAAATATTAAAACTACAAATGGAAATATAAAACTATTTTAAGTTATGTTTAATAAATTGACAAACAAAACCAAATCCATGAAAAATATAATAATAAAAAATAACATTGTAAGAAATAATAAAGCTAACAAACTATTAACCAAAAAATATTATAACTAAATTGAGCCGCAAATTCATAATCTCAACATATATCCAACATCGTCCCCAAATCATCAATGTGTGTAATTGTGTTGTAATTTTTTACCCCTTAAATAGAACACGCCCATTTTTTATCATGATAACACAAATCATTCTATAACAACAGCGAGAATAAAACTCCTATCATGCTCCGTAGACTAGTTTCGGAGAAAACGTAAGTCAAAGTTCGTGTTCCGAAAAGCAAATTTTTTTTATTAATTTCTTTTCATACCTGAGAAACGAATTCGTTCGTTTGTTCATATTTGATAATGATCAAATCTTCTTATGAGCCTATTTAGAATTCGATAAAATTCATAGTTTCTTAATTTTTTTTAAAGATTTGTTCATCGATATTAAGGGCTTTAAAATGCTTTAAACTGTAAGACGACTGAATACTACTATCATTAATAAAATTACATTCGATGCATAATTTCGGAAATACAAGAAAAACAATTTTGACGGGTCATTGAAATTTTACGGGACAAAAAAAAATTGGCAATATTATTGTGTAGAGGATTCCGCAACTCATTCTGAACTATTTTAAACATAAAAAAAAATGTGCTGAAAAATTACAAAACTTTTTTAACCCTCAGTTTTTTTCTACTTATGTCTCTCGGAGCAAATATTTTGAAATGAAAACTAGCCATTGGTGCCGTAGGAATAAAGTTCGTAAAATTGCAGCTTTGAGAAACTCTATAACATAATTGTTAGTATTATACGCCAGGGATGGCGAACCATTACGAATCGACGTGCCATTTTATAAAGAAAGGTTGAATGAGGTCTAAGACCCCATTCTAAGACGTCAAATAATTTTGACTTCCGATTATTGAGAAAAAAATTACTATTTCTCACTTTGCGTAATGCATAATGAAATTTGTGAGGAGCAGCGCCATGTTCAAAATATACTCTCACTGTTATACTCAGTACCTGAATTATAAGGTTGTGTAATGTGTTTATGGGTTACTCGATCTTCTAATTTTTTATGCCGACTTACTCTGGACATTATATGCTTATAAAAAAATGGTCCAAAATTGTAAGCTTTTAACAGGTGTAACGAATTAAGTTTCTCAATATTGGTTAGCGTTGATCAAACCAAGGTTAAATAATATAATATGAAAATATTTTAATTATAGGTACCGTTTTATTTTTATTACAGAGCGATAGACCGGGTGGTGACGAACTACCGAATGTAGATATTGTGGTAAGTGAAAATTCAATAGCATAAATAGCTTGCAGGATAATTTTCGCGTCAATACCTTGATCATAAAGGCAACTGATGATTTTTTTAATAATTTTATTGCCCTTTTTACAAGGGAAGCATACAATAACATGTGCTAGTGGCAAGGCTTTTAGCAATTAGGAGTGGAAGAGAGTGGTGTAAAAAGTATTTATTTATAACTGTTGCCTAAAAGAAACAAGGTTGCTAATGTAGTTAACAGTGAATAGGAAAAGAGACACTATAGGGGGCGCTAGTAAACAATAAAACACACATACTAGGAACTACTTTGTATTACCACCGCCGTGGTTCAAAAACGCGACCATCAGTATTTCATAAGGCTAACAATTATATAAAATAATAGAAATAAAGTTACTACCGCGATGCCAAATCGCACAACGTCATCTATTGATGGACGTGGGAAATCTTACATCTATATAAGAAAATAATGAATTTGAACATTCCGCCCACCAAGGACTTGTCCTTCAGTTTAAACAATATTTCATTCAAAAAATATTAGTAATTACGAGTTTTTATAAAATGCTACACACTATTCTAACATTAAAAATAAGTATAGTTCAACAGATTCCGCCCACCGTGACAAAATGTGGAGTTAAAAATAAAACTTTTAAATTCGAAACAATAAAACATGAAAAAATGAAAAAATAAAAACAGTCACTTTTAGTAGAGAGATAAAAAATGTAAATAAACTTGGAACAACACATCTTATTTAGGCAAAAGACAAAGCTTACTTACAGGGCGCTTTAACAATTTATCTTTACATTTTATAGTGACTACTCGTGTGACATTATCTTTGCCAGTATGTTTTTGTACAATTCTACCAAGAATCCATTTAGTAGGAGGCAAATTCTCCTCACGTATTACAACAACATCATCAATATCTACTTCAGATTTTTTTATACTCCATTTATATCTTTTATCTAAGTTTAATAAATAGTCTTTAGACCAACGCGACCAAAAATCATTTGTCATTTTTTGAACTAGTCGCCATCTATCTAATGTAGTTACATTTTTGGTTTCGTTACAGTTAAAGTCATCACATATGTTAATAAGTGGTTCACCTACCAGGAAGTGGCCAGGTGTTAACGGGAGAGGGTCTATAGAATTATCACTTAATTGACTTAACGGACGCGAATTAAGGCATGATTCAACTTGGATTAATACAGTAGATAGCTCTTCGTAAGTCAATGTATTATCACCTATTACCTTTCTTAAATAAGTTTTGGTTGAACGTATTCCGGCTTCCCACAACCCACCGAAATTGGGACTGTGAGGTGGTATATAATGAAACGTTGTCCCTTCCTGAACTAACAGTTCCGCTATCTCTTGAGGCATTCGAGATTTCGCTGTATCAAATATTTCTCTTAATTCCCTTTCTGCGCCAACGAAGTTAGTACCGTTGTCGCAGTAAAGATCCAAACAACGACCTCGACGTCCAACAAATCTTCGAAATGCGGC